TTTCATTATTATACTCTTGGATCAGGTTATTTCACTATAAATATATGGATCAAGTTAACTCATCATTGCATGCTTTGATCAAGTTATTTCACCATTACATGCTCGGATCAAATTATTGATTTAGGTTTAGAATTAGGTTTTTCAGTTTTATTTTACATACTTCATATAAAGTTGAAATGAAATCTTGAAAAGTAAAAAAAGTTTCAGTATACAGTATACAGTAATCAGTATACAGTATAAAAATTTAATTAAAGCAAGAATTTTTGAAAAATTTAAATTAAAATAAGAATGTTTGAAAAATTTAATTAAAATAAGAATGTTTGAAAAACTTAATTTAAAGTTAGAATGTTTGAAACTTTCGGTTTGAGAGTTAAAGGATCAAGAGCTAGCAAATTAGGAAAAGTAATACCGAAAACCTCCAATAATACTGGAAGTTTAAATGCTACATAACATTTTAATTACAATTGCAAAGAGATAACTCTTTGCAATTAAGGGAGTGTAGATTGCAAAGAGGTTGCAATCTACACTCCCCAAAATTAGGGGGATATGAGAAGACTCAGATACTTACTTTACATGGTTATAACTTTCAAACACTGTAAGATTATTAAATTAAATTTGAAAACTGTTGATGAATATGAATTTATTATAAGATAATAATAATAATAAACAAATGTTGATGAATTTAAATTTAAGATAAAAAAAAGTATTTTATCAGCTCATTGCTTTTACATTTAAGTTAGGGGAAGGTCAACTTTTTGGTGTATTTTTGTTCCCATCTTTCAACTATAAAAATTTTTAGCAAAATATTTTCAATTGACTAAAGCATGAATAAAGAATGAATGTTTCGATTGATATTTCTTGGTTTTTTAATGTATATATTTTTTCATGTATACTTTTTTTCATGTATTTTTTTTTGATATAACTACTTGCAACCAAATAATAGCTGAAAAGGTTTCAAAATAAACACATTTAATGTTTGATCTTTTTTTTTGTTTTTAAACTTATTTATTATGGATAAAACAATCAATTTTTATCAAAATCACAGTTTATTGAACCGACAAACTAAATACTGTATAGTAAATAGCAATTGTGAGTAATTAATAATTGACATATTAAGTTAAACCACAAAAAACGTAATAGTACATGTTTTATACAGACCGCCTTCTGTGTTAATTATTAAAAAGATGTTAATTCACCTCCTCAAGGCCGAGAAGGTCATTACAGCCGAGGAGGCTATTTTAGTTGTGGTGTAACCACACTCTCTCAACTCTATAACTCCGAAACACGAAACTTGACTGAAACAAGGAGAAACAAGTTGATTAAGTAATACTGAAATCTTTAAAAACCACATAAAATGTTTAATTTCAAAAGTACCTGTTTGTGGTAAACGCGTTTACTTTGTGGTAAACGCGTTTACTTTGTGGTAAACGCGTTTACTTTGTGGTAAACGCGTTTACTTTGTGGTAAACGCGTTTACTTTGTGGTAAACGCGTTTACTTTGTGGTAAACGCGTTTACTTTGTGGTAAACGCGTTTACTTTGTGGTAAACGCGTTTACTTTGTGGTAAACGCGTTTACTTTGTAGGTAATCTAAATTTAAAATGCTCGAATATGACTAAGTAATGTCAGAAGTTTTTTTAACTTGTATGTTAAAATGGATTTATTTAAACCATAAATAAACCTAACTTATGCGGAATAAAAATGAGTATTCCAACTTCAGTTTTAGTGTTGAAAATTTACAAACGTGCTTGTTTTCAATTCTAATTGATTAATTAATAAGGCTTATAATATTGGATATAGTAAGAGTATCAGGTTAACTTAAAAATTTTTGAGATTTTATATGCCCTTTCTTCATTATTGACAATAATTAAATTTTAATAAAATGCTTATAAGGAAAACATTTAACTCTTACATAATTCAAATTCATAATAGTATATAAATAAAAGGATTCTATATCATATTTATTAAATTATTTATTCAAAGTTACATCGCTGATGAGGAAACTTTGAATATGTTTTGCTGTAAAATACATACATACATACATACATACATACATACATACATACATACATACATACAAACATACATACATACATACATACATACATACATACATACATACATACATACATACTTAAAGCTAAATTAAGACAAATAAAAAGGAAGTAAATTCCAAATTTCTTTTGCAAAATGTTTTTCCGGATTTTCATAATGTGAAATAAAAGATCATGGCAATAGATGCTTTGAGTACTTTAAATGTTATAAAAAATTATAAGTAAAGTAAGACCCGTATTCGTAAAAGTGTGTATAACAAAATATTTTATGCTGTACCAATGCTTAATAACTATATCTCCTTTAGTTTTTACATCATAAATTTATAAACAAAAAATATGTAACATAGACAACAAGCTGCTACGCGAGCTGAGGCAGTGTACAAAGTATCTTGGATTATTTAAAAAAAAAAAAAAATTCAAACATTCAAACGATTTTTATAGGAACAATAACAACCAATAAACAAAGTAAGAATTTAAATAATCACAATAATAACTGATTTTGATGTTTAAGGTTTGAAAGCTTTAAATACTTGTTATATTTACAGCAAGTAAAAAAAAAAAAAACGATTTGTATTTAAAGTAACCCCAAAAAACAGTATATTATTTACAATATATATATAAATATATAATATTGTATATCCCGACAAGAAAGGTATATGTGGCCCACATGTAGTCATAGTACTTTTGTGTGGATTAAAAGTTCAAAAATATATTACAGTTAATGAATGACATATTTGATGAAAATAAGTGTGGCCCACTTGTGGAACACATAATGCAGTTCACATAACTATTCCACTTAATGTGGCATAATCTTTAAATAAATACGTGCTAAATTTGATGCGGCTATCATATGGGCCATACATATAAAACTCACGATCTTGCCTCATTTTAAATTTAAAATTTGAACCAATTGTAATAATTTTATCGCAATGCATTGTAAACTCTAGAATATTCCATGATATCATGTGGCTTACCGTTTTGATAATTTTCAATTTATAACTGTTGTAAGTATGTTTGAGCGATAAAAATAAATTATATATATATATATATATATATATATATATATATATATATATATATATATATATATATATATATATATATATATATATATATGTATGTATATATATATATATATATATATATATATATATATATATATATATATATATATACATATACATATATATATATATATATATATATATATATATATATATATATATATATATATATATATATATATATATATATATATATATATATATAAAGTGTAAATATATAAAATAAAAAACAAAAACCTAGGTGTGTTAAGTCTTGATCTTATTGTAGTAATATTATAAAAATCTGTAAATGTTTATAATTTTGTAAAAAAAAAAAAAAAAAATGTTTGAGCGGTTTTGCAATGAATATTTTAGAGAATTGTTGTTCTAAATAAACTTTCCATAAAATTTGTAAATCAGAGTTATACTTAACGAATACAAATTTAAAGTTATACTTAAACGACGTTACTTTTTAATTGAGGCGTATTATATTTTTTGCATTAATTTAAATTTTTTGAACTAAAAAAATAGGTTTTAAGAAAAAACCTATCTGGAAAAAATCCCCCCGAAATAATCCCCCAAGGAAAATCCCCCGAGGAAAATCCCCCGAAAAAAAAATCCCCTAGGAATAAATACCCCCCAAAAAATGCTTGGTTTCAAATTAAAAAAATATATATCAAAGCTTTTGTTTGTTAAGTATTTATCTAAAGCTAAATAAGTTGCAACATTAACAAGATAGAATCGGGAATTGCAACTTTCATATTTTGCATATTATAGTTTCAAGGGTTGAATTAAGTGATCGCGAAATGCAAAATCTGGAAAAACTTCTGGTCTTGAAAATTTTTGTATAAGTAACATAAACAAAAATTTCTGAAAATTTTTTGTTTAACTTATGTTACTTATACAAATAATGAATTATAACTTTTATAATTCATTATTTGTATAAGTAACATAAGTAATCCCAAATTTTAATTCAAATAAAAAAGCATCTAGAAAAATAGAGTGGGTACTCAAATAATGTTTAAAACTTAATAAGGAACTTAAACAACAATAAAAACGTACTGTATAAAAAATTTAGCATTACGAAAAACGTTACTAACGGTCCGTAAAAACGCGTATTAGTTTTAAAATCAACCAAAAAAAAAAATTTCATTGGTTGGTTTCGAAATTTAAAACTTTAAAATTTATAAGTGCTTTATATAAGTAAAAACACTATTATAGTTTATTACTTTTATAATGCAGTTAGTGACTTGACTGTTATTACTTTTTGTAGTCGTAAGTTTCTTGTTGTTTTTAGTTTTTTATAACTTTTTCGCTAAAAAACTAAAGGTGAGTTTCCACTCATCCGTTTTTCTACGGGAACGGGATAGGAAAGGGAAAAATAATCACTTGAGCATGCACAGTTTTACTTCGGACAAATTAAAACTTATAATACGCATGCCCACGTGATTATTTTTCCCTTCCCTTTCCCGTTCCCATTAAAAAACGGATGAGTGGAAACTCACCTTTATAATAATTTGCTCCTTGAAAACAAAGTTCGCGGCTTTGCATTAACTAAAATTTTGAAGACCAGATATTTTTGCAGATTTTGCAGATCGCGATTGCTTAATTCAACCCTTGGGTTTTATGGTTTAATACATAAAGTTTGTGGTTAAGTACATAAAGTTAGTATTTTGATGATTAACTACCGTAGTTCATTCTTACAAGTTTAATTAAGTTACTTTAAAATCCCGTTTTTAAATAAATTGAATGATCTTTAAAAAGTTTAAAACAAATTTATTAACTTAACAATTTTATTAACCCACAAGCGAAAATTTTATTAAAACATCAACCTTTAATTTTAAATCAATATCGTTGCAAATTTGTTCCAATAATCAGTAATAATCTTCTTAACTTCTCTTTAGGCTATTGTTGCTGCGCACTGTTTCTCGACATGAAAAGCGTAGAAATATTTTGTATACTTTCTATGTAATTCTTGCCAAGAAGTCCACAAAGCAATTAGCTGGCGGTCTACTGAAATACAAATCCGAAAAAAATTTTATTTTACAAATTTGCTCCAATATACATTACAAATTTGCTTTAATATATGTTGTGATTTAATATATTTGTGATTTAATATATATGATTTAATATAATTAGTATATGTGGTTCTGATGTTCTTCTTAAGATAATTTTGTTTTTTACAGTGTTTTTTTTTTTGTGACGTATAGGGCAAACTGTAAGGATATAATAATTCGTTAGACAAAAGAGTTAAGGGTGGAACGATTTTACAAATTTACATTAGGGTGGAGCGATTTTAAAAATTTTCGAAATTTGATTAGCTTGGGCTGCGAATCGATGTCTTTTGGTGAAAAAAGAGCCTTACTTTTTTTTTTTTTTAATATAAATGAGTTTTAGAGGTTCCTCTTTGGATTTTAAATTTATGACGGATCCTAATATTGTTGAAATTTTTTTTCTTCTAAACTATATTAACCTGGTACTCAAAAGAAGCAAAATAAGACGCTTATTTTGAATATAATGTTTGTTTTAATTTAAAACTAAATTGAAAAAAATAATGTTGTTTTTTTCATTAAAAAACCCCCGTTTCATCAAAACGGGGGTTTTAAGGTATATTTTTGCAAATATTTTTTTTACTAAAAAGTTTTTTTTAATAAAATTATTATTGATAAAACAAGCATTTTTTTTTTCTGCTTTTTTTGAGTCCAAGGTTGATATAGTTTAGAAAAAAAAAATTCAAAAATATTAGGATTCGTCAAGGATTTAGAATCCAAAGAGGAACCTCAAGATCTTATCAAAACAAAAAAATATTTTTTTACTTTCATCTTATAATTAATAGACATCGATTCGTGTCTCAGGAATATTGATTTTTAAACTTTTTTTTTTTTGCTATGAAAATCGCTCCACCCTAATATACATGACTTCTTAAAGCAATCGAAATGAGGCGTTAGGTCTTATTTAGTGTGTTTTTAGTGGGATAAACATTTAAGCCACATATGAAACGCACCAACGCCATCCCATAAAGGAGAGTGGTAAATATATAGCTTACATGTGCTTCCCACACATGGCCACATAAAACTTTCACGCACAAATGAAGCGTGGCGTTAGTGTAGTTTTAGAGGGATAAACATTATAGCCACATATGGGACCCATCAACGCCATCCCATAAAGGAAAGTAGTGAGCATATGGTTAGCATGCAAATGCCATATATGGCCCACATTAAAATTTCTTGTCGGGATATTATGTAACATATATATCTATTACATAACATATACAATAATGTATATTATGTAATATAGTATATAATATATAATTTACATATATATATATATATATATATATATATATATATATATATATATATATATATATATATATATATATATATATATATATATATATATATATATATATATATATATATATATAAACACATATATATATATTACAATTTAGTATATATATATATATACAATGTAGTATATATTATACAATGTAGTATATATTATATAATATAGCATATATTATGTATAATATTTACTATATTATATATACAATAAGGACCGGTGCAAATTATGCGGTCGCATAAGGTGCCGCGTTAGTGTTAATTTGTTTTTTTCTGTTTTATTTTTAACCATAATTTTGATTAAAGAAAAACAAACTTAAATTTCATTTTTGGCGTCCATAATGTGTGCAGCTACTGAGTTGTTAAGATATTAGGGGCGCCAAAGTTTATATGCTAAACTATTGATTTTGTAGATATTTGCTCAGCACTTCGATTAAAAAATAATTAGATTTAGGAGTACACCTTTACAAAATGTAATTAAGAAGATGAAAGTTGTATTAAATAAAAGGTAAGAAGTAAGTTATAACATGAAAGTTGTAAATAAGAAATCGTAAGATGTAATTGAGAACATAACAGTTATAATTAAGAAAAGTTTATAATATAGATTCTAAGAAAAAAATTCTTGATTTTGTTGTAACTCAATATCTTTTTGTTGTAACTTTATCTTGTAACTCAAGTTTGGATCGTAATTTGCCAAGGTGACCATATGGGTTGGTTTTCAATAAATAATAATATACTATCAATAAAATAAATCACGAAAAAGGCATTTGTGGTATTGGTGGCACCTGGAAAAATCCTATCGGGTGTCAGTTAAAACACTAGCATGAAATGTCACTTGACATTCCATGCTAGTGTTTCTTCAATTTGATCATCGGTTAAATTTTTTGGTTTAAAAGAACCTCTTCAAATGAAATTTGAATTTCCGCTGCGGAACCAATTGTATGCTGTCTTATATTTAACACCTAAAGTTTGCACCAGAGTCACCTAATCATTACTTCGCTCAACACTTTTAATAGCTCTTTTTCTATCATTCAGTAAAGATAAAACGTAATTTTTTCTTTCACCAAGTACGGTTGTAAGGTTGTATGTCAACAAATTGGTTGTTCCAGAAGTGGATGTAAACAAGTTTGGTGAAATTAATGCTGACACGGATTCAATTTAAAAACAGACTTTTGGATCATAATGTATTGAAAAATAAAACAACAATCTTCCAATTCCATTATTATTGTTGGTACATACAAATGTTAAATTTGATAATATTAACTTATTAAAATACATGGCCAGGAAGATCTTTTATAATAATCTTAAAGCTTAAATTGTGAATTCGCAATTACAAATTACTAGGGCTGTTCAGTATGCTAATTTGTTTTCAGAACATAGCTAATTGAAGTTTTTCCCATTCAACTATCATATTGTGGTTCAAAAATATTTTTTACTAAATTTTATTATTTGCCCTAAAGGTCCCTCAAAGCCACTAAACATTTGACAGGTCCCTAATATTATTAAAAAAAAATTATTTAAAAATATGTCAACTTGGTACTCAAAAGAAGCAAAATTTTATAAAAACTTTAAAAATTAGATTCATTTTTTATAAAAAACAACTTAAAAAAACCTATTATTAAAAATGTTGTGAATATTACCTTTTTTTCATTTTTCGTTTAAAAACCATAGTTTTTATTCAAAAAAACCTAATATTGTTTTTTTAAAAAAAATACTTTTTGTTTTTGAAATTTTTAAATGATTTTGCTTCTTTTGAGTACAAGTTGACATATTTTTAAATAATTTTTTTTTCAATAATATTAGGGACCTGTCAAATGTTTAGGGGCTTTGAGGGACCTTCAGGGCAAATAATAAAATTTAGTAAAAAATATTTTTGAACCACAATATGATAGTTGAATGGGAAAAACTTCAATTAGCTATGTTCTGAAAACAAATTAGCATACTGAACAGCCCTACAAATTATTTATTCCCAGGAATAAACGTTCTATAGAACTTCTATAAACTTTTAAAACATATGGCTTATAAAAATTATACAGAATTTCTATAGAATGTCTACACCTTTTCAAGATGTAATTGAGAGCTTGAAAGTTAATTAAGAAAACTAAGTTGTAATTGAGAAAAATAACATGTAATTTAGAAATCGCAATATCTAATTGAGAAATACAAAATGTAATTTAAAAATCGCAGTATGTAATTAAAAAACACAACATGTAAAAAGGAAATTTTAAAACGTAATTGAGAAACTCAACATGTAAATAAGAAATCGCTATATGTAATTAGAAAAATAAAAGTTGTTATTAAAAAATCGTAATATGTAAATAAGAATATATTATTTAAATAAAAATAAGAATATATTATTGCGAATTCACAATGTAAGTTTAAAGGTTATTATAAAAGATCTTCTTGGCTATGTATTTTAATAAGTTAATAATATCAAATTTAACATTTGTATGCACCAACAATAATAATGGAATTGGAAGATTGTTGTGTTATTTTTCAATACATTATAATCCTAAAGTCTGTTATTAAATTGAATCAATGTCAGCATTTATTTCACCAAACTTGTTTACATCCAATTCTGGAACTACCAGAACCAACTTTTCCAACTTTTAGACATAAAATACATACAACTGAACAAGTTGAAAAAAAACATTATGTTATATCTTCATCGAATCATAGAAGAAGAGTTATTGAATGTGCTGAGCGAAATGACGATTAGGCGACTCTGGCGCAAACTTTAGGTGTCAAATATAAGACAGCATACAATAAGTTAGCAGGGGAAATTTAAATTTTATTGGAAGAGGTGCTTTTAAACCAAAAAAATTAAACGATGATCAAATCGAAGAAACACTATCATAGATTGAAAATTACTGTTAGTTGACATTGGCGTCCATTAAAACATGGGTATTAAGACAAGTTAATATTAACGTCAGCACAACACAATTGCCGATTACCTTGAAGGCAGGCTGTTTTCATTTTAAAAATTTCACAAGATGAAAGAAAAAAGAGATGCATATGTTAGAAACATCAACGAGAACATCACAAATGGTCATCAGGTAGTTTGTTTAGATGAAGAAAGTTTTAACCTTTTTTGTACAAAAACGCAAGGACGTGTTAAACAGGAAAAAAGAGCAATAATGAAAATAGGATCATTTAAAGCCGATTCTTGTAAGAGTGGATGTTGGCTATGTTTAACCAGTGGGTTATATTTAGGATTCGTTTAGAGGATTTGGTTGTTGTAACAAACAATGCCACATGTCACGCTTGTTAGGAAAACTGTAGTGTAACAACTGAGCCGGTGAAAATTCACCAGCTCAGTTGTTACAATTAGGACCCTACAGTCTAATGTTAATCCTAGTGGAAACTATCTAGTCCAAAATAAAAATTAACGTTAAAAATGTGATTCGCATTCCACTTGTTGGGTGCTGGGATTATGGAACAACGAATGCAGTATTTAAAAAGAATTGTTACCGCGGCAAAAAATACAATATTGGGAGGTGATTTTACACGCGCTGTACAACATACAACCACGCATTACGCAACGATTTTAAATATGGAAGACGTCCAAGTTGGTGTTTAACTGAATATTGCAATGATTTTAATAATGACGTTGTTTAAATTCTATTTAAATATTATATTTTTATGTAAATGAAAATATAATATTTAAATATAATTTAAGCAAGCTGTTGGGATATAATCAGATAACATAATGATCTTCTTTGATGGAAGTGGCCCTGCTAACTTTACCATTGGCTTATTCCACTAACCTTAGGATTTTGTCTATATCAACTTTTTTGATTGAACAAAAACTCTCTTTCCTTAAAAAGAACTTTGGTGGA